CTTCTTGACGGTCTTAAGTTTGTCGCCAGTAGTTTTTTTTCTCCTGAACCCTCCAAACCATAAAAACCACCATCAACTCTATTTTTATTCCTTTACCTCAGGAGTGTTTTTCACTGCTGGCCGGATTTGTGTTTAGCGCTTCCCTGAAAATGCCTGTAAACTAGCATCAAATAAAATGATGATTATTATTATATATTGGCGTAAAGAATTCAGATAACTTGTTCGCCTTGTCTGAATTATAAGGCTACTGATTTCCCTGGCAAGCTCTTATACAGGAGATGCGGTCCCAGTTGCGTTTCGCCATATTCACCTATTCAAATAACTTTTGGAATTTCGCGGTACATTTCTGAGCATTTTTGATTGCAATCCTGTTCGTTTCCTCCTCAGCTGGTTCCGACTTACATATCACTGTTTTTTAATATCCGTAATATTCTCTGCTGTTTGACATCTGGCGTAATTTTTCCAAAATCGCCTTTTCAACCTATGGCATTTTTATTTTTGAGGTCGCCCTCTCTGGTCGGGATGTGCGAGGTTTCCTCTTAAATGGGCAGCATCTCTCTACCAAGTGCTGCGTAACGTCCTTGATTCAAAGCCAGTCGCTTTCTGAGTCATGTGCTTGCGCAGCATTCTAGCTCACCCCCTGTAGCAGATCTTTCCTTCGAGAACAATTGCCTTTCCATACATATCTTTTATCTGCAGCTCTAATTTAGGTCCCAGAAAAGTGCCAATACTCCCAAGCAAGACAGCAGTGGTCACTTCGGGCTAAGCGCCTATGCGAGTCCATCCGGGAATGCAACAATCATCCCTAGTGATGATGAGGTCCAAACAACTGGACTGCTGTCCGTCTCGGATTCGAGTGTCCATTTTAACGTGTTTGGTAAGGAGCTCATCAGTGATCAATTGAATAAATTTCTGTTCGAAGGACTTTTCTGATCGCATGCAATGCATCAACTCCCATTCGATATCCGCACAGCTGAAATCGTCAAGTAGCGTTATGCGTTTGCTTTAACGAATTTCTCCTATCAGGGTGCATCGTCCGCATTCGTCGGCTGTCCTGGCGGTCTGCAAACCAGGGCCACATGGAGGCATGGATGGTTTTGCACGTTCAAGTAACAAGGGCGTATTTCACAACCAATGTTCCTACATGAGGAAGGCTCAACTCTGACGTAGTCGGTGCCATCTAGTATAAATATGACAGTTCTCCCACCCCTTTATTCGTTTTGGTTTATTCGCAGAAGCCGTACGCCGACCAGCATAACTTCCGCGTCTTTTATCTGCTCATTTAACTGTGTTCCCGTTAGAGCTATCAAGTCGGGTTAGACAAGGACCACGGTCAGTTTAATTTCGTTCAATTTGTTAAATTAACTTTGCACATTCGCGTACATCATTTTCATATTATCCGGTTAAAGAGAGCTCTAGAAATATTTTGCTTGGACTTCCGACCGATAGCAACTACTGGATATTTCACATTGCGTACCAAGTTCACTAATAGATTTTGAATCTAATAAAGTGTGTTGGAAGTGAACGTCGGTGCTTTTACCGTCAATTTCCCCAGGTAATTGCACAAAAGAGAACGTTCTATTTTTACAATTTGGTTGTTTGCTATTTTCAGCTTCACTTCGCCCTCACTCTGACGTTCTCTTAGTTCCGTTACGAGTGTTCTCATTTTTATCCGTTCGATTAGATGGTAGTCCGGCTGGAAAAAAAACACTTCACGATGGTTGTTTCGAAGCCTGGACTTTCGCGACAAGCTGACATCTGCATGCTGTTTGTTTCCCAATACAACTTTTAGAGGTCTCGGTCGCACTTCCTCTGCGTTGTTTCAAACTAAAGGCCCCGAAGGGAAGATCTTTTTGATTTCAATGACCTCACCGTGTTCTTGAATGCCATTCAATAAGTTTTGAAATTTGTTTTACCCTTTCTTTCGATCTGTCACTAGGAGCTACAGGAACTCCTTGCACTACCACAGAACGTGATCTCTCGGGGGAAAAAAACAAGTCTTTGCATTATGCCCTACTTTGCAAGCGGAAGATTGATTTTCAGACTCTGAGACTGCCTTTATTGCTGTATCTAGGGCTGTTACTAAGTTGCTCACCTCTATGATAGACGCCGCACCGTCTTTATCTAGCCATCTTACACGGTTTCTTGCATTATAACCTGACATACATGTGTAGGGCAAACTGCTAGCGCTCTTTTTGTGGCGAAGGAAAGTCCATACGATTACTGTCTACAATATCTTTTTGGAGTCGTTGATTGCTGCTTTATTTTGTTGCAGACGGACTCTGTATGGTCCAGATTTTTTTAATTTAGGTAAGCTTGAGAACCAGTTACATCTCCATCAGCCTTCTTTTTGTTCCCCCTATTTCGATTGAGTCGAGAAGTTTGTCTAATTACTTCGTTCGTTGCCTCTTCTCTTTTCGCTGAACGTGACATCCATAGCATTTCCCTGGTCTCTTAAGATTACTGTGGTCCAGCTCATTGTTGCCCTTTATGTCTTTTGTATCGTGTTCTGGGGGTTTAATTTTGTTATACTTAAGGAGTGATGCTATTATTTCAGTGAGGAGATGGACGTCTGTTGTCAGTTTTGAAACTATGGTGATGAGTTCTCGGCATCCATAACAGCGTCTCGACATTTTAGTACTTAATTTATCTGTGGCCGATTTCACTAGTGCACTGCGTTCTTCAGGACTGATGGTCAGTGTTCCCTCGTGCCCAGCTGAGAGCGAGTTAAGTACTTACGGTAATTGTTTATCATAGGGAATAGAGGACGGTTTACAAATGAGTGACAGGTCAGCTTTTTCTGAGTATATATTTTTTTCTTGTACATTCGGCTGTCCGGTCGTGGCCGAGTGGTTAGGAGGGTCGGTTTTTTTTCGAGGGATCCCTGGTTCAAATCCCTGACGCGGCCGACCTTTGATACACATGATAAGGCGATCGGGGCTTCGCCGTAACGAACGAAGGTCTGATATGGCAAGGATTTCGGCAAAATTTGGTATCGGGGAGGGGGGTGAACAAAAACGACAAAACAAGGCGTCTCCTGCGCACCAGTTTTGATGGTGGGCACGAGGAGACAATTCGAATGTGAGAGAGAGGCTCTAATGTAAAGAAGAAACCTCCGCCACATTTTTCAACACGGTCTTATCGGTGTAAGCGGACACTATCTATAGCCAGCGCCTAGTCGGAAATTAGAGAATTAGCCCAAGATGTTGTTAGGCAAAATACATCTTGATCAAACTCAAAGGCTATGGTTCTCAGTTGTGCCATCTTTTGCACGACTGATCTCAATTTGAGAGAAACTATTCCGAACGTATTCCCGAGGTAAAGGCTTCGGTCATTACTAGTTATAAAAAAGGAAGTGTTGATGGTGGAAAATCAAGCTGTATGGAGGATCTAAAGGGCGGAAAGCAAAGTTGCAGTGGTCTGAAATTTGTGGTGTCACCATCAACTGAAGACGCAATATTGCATGGGAAATATCTGGTTAGGATCCATGGAGAGAGATGCTATTTCGTGGGATTGGAAACACGGGAGGCATAAAAATAGGATTTTGAGAATTTTAAGCATAACACGAGGGAGATTTATGTTAGAAAACGGTCCAAGTGGTTTCGAGATTCTGTTAAAATTATGAGAAGGCTTTATTATTTATGATGCCAGGCGTACAGGAATATAGACATACATTGAGCACCAAATCTCATTTGGAAGTTGTCAGTCGGATACTAGGCCAAATTACGCTTCAAATAACTCTCATTTTATCATAAATCGAAATAGTTAAGGCAGTTAGTCATGATAATTATTATCAAAAGGTGCTAGAACACGTACTACAGTGCCGAAGGTATTTGGGCAGTCGTAGTCCGGATTCTCACTCACGTCTGAGATGCAACACGACTAGCAGATAAGCGCCTTCCCAGTGATTCATTTAAGCAAAGAAGTCCATTCAGCTCATTCAAGGTAGACATAATGGCCTATCAGACAGGTTATGAAGGCAATTTTCTAGGGGACGTATTATGTATTTTCCATTTGGAACAGCTTATTTGGGAAGTAAGATGCACCTGTTTGCTTTGCAAATTGTTTCTGAAATAATCATGAGAGCTGTTTCAAACCGGACCAGGCTCCGCCAGACCCCCAGTGACCCCATTATGAGAGAGCCATGTGCTGGCAGGGTATATATTAAATTTCACCCTCTCTTCAATGTCCTGTCGACTTTTTCGCCCTTTTCTCCCCTTCTTTGTGTTTCCCGAGCATTTTACTCAATACGAACAGAAACACTCGAGCGTGGATTTCATGACCTCTTTCGCTTTTTCGTCCTTTAGCAACATTTCAACAGGACACTTTTTAACATAGACTAAAATATGCGTCCAGTTAACATGGTTCCTAGACATTGAGTGGATATTCAATGGTAGATAAATTTCTCTCATCCCTTCTGCCGAACAACATGGTAGTTTGTCGCTACTCTCCCAGTGGTCTGTACACATGTACTTCGTACTTCCTGGATTTCTAGCGTGTATTTCTGTGTCAAGCGTGAACAAACGAACCCAAAATTCCTTGAGGGGAGGTGTTATGTTCTTCAGTTGTTAACAGGCGTATAAACGTTCTTGACGTATCAAAATATTTTTGCTGTTGGTCTCCTTGAGCGACTTCAAAATAAACTGCAGACGTTTGTCCTTGAATCCTTCAGCTCAGCCCGTATGCACACATCCACAGGTGGCGTCTGTTCGATTGGTAAATGGCCCTGACACCTAAAGAAGTCTCTGACCTGACAAGGTGAGTTTTTAAAAGGCGCACTTGCTTTGTTCTGCTTTTTCCCCGGGTTGCGCATTGACTTTCACTTCTTGGGCCCTACCTACCCCGTCATCGCACGTTAAACTTCATGTCGCTGACAGGATTGTACTAACCTCTGTCTAAATCTGTATTGACATTCCTGATTCGTGGGCTTGTTTGCGGCTAACATGTGATTAGTGGGCTGGGTACTGCCTGGGTGAACAATTTGCCCTTAGTGCCACATCTCCCCGGTAACACGTCGTTTACGCAAATCACTCGAACGGAGTACGGAGCGGATTGTATCGACACTAACTCTGGTGGCTAGCCCCCAGGGAGTTTGGTATTATTGGGTCGGAGTGACATGTTGCGCGTGATGTCACGCCTTCGTCATCCACTGACATCCGGCCTCATGGTCTCATTTAATCATCTTTTAATAAATTTTGCCTAGAACCAACCTGTAATATAATGGCACTACTTATATATCCGTCCTGCAATTGACAGTTGACTACTTAGACAGTTATGAATCGCCGATACAAGCGAAGATGCGAGTTCCGGAAATCAGTTAATAAGAATGAGAAGGAGCGACCGCTGGAACAAGGGCTTTATCCGCCTGACGTTTCGGATTCTCACTCGAACCCATCATCAGAGACAGTGGCAGAAACGGGTTTATGCTGCTGTCTCTGATGATGGGTTCAAGTGAGAATCCGAAACGTCAGGCGAATAAAGCCTTTGCCCCAGCGATCGCATTTTCTTCTTATCATTTATGAATCGTTAACCTTTTCCGCCACTTGGAGTCTCGTCCCCACGCGTTCATAGTCCTTTTAAATTCCTCCCTTCTGTTTAAGCCTTCGTGATCTCAAAGGCGAATCGGCACATTTTGAGGATGTCACATCAGGTTCCTTTTGAAAACCGCTATCATTTGGGCTGCACCTGTATTTTGGGGCCTTTGTTTGTCCGTAGCCTTTTTGCTGTAGAAGCGACTACCCAGGCCACAAACAGTTCCGCAAAAACCCTTTATGTCTGTCTTGTGGTTACAGTAGTTGTTCGTCATCTCTGGTTTTCACATAAAAACTACGCCCAATTCAGTACCATTAACTGAATGTGAGTGAGTCGTGCCGAACTATATTCTACGTTGTCGGGATCGAGGTTATGAAACTGTCATGAAGAGATTGCTTTGTGGTGCTGTTCGCTGGACACCATGCGCATGTACTGTTTGGGTGATGGCGTAACGGACTTCAGTAGAGACTAGCTGCAACATAAGTAAACTAATGAACTCGCATGAAGACTTGATGACCGGCAGCTACATTGCTAACAGGGAGTAAAAGGCTAAGGTCTGGCACACTGGCTGGTCCGTAAATTATGAAAAGGCCCGCCTGCTGCCCGATGGCGTGGCGATCATAACCAGTGATTAGGAACTCCTTTTGTGACCGTTGCTTTGTGGTTTAATTCGAATAGTCGAAAACGTTACGGGACAGCCTCAAATAATCCGGGTGGCTGTTGAGACCTGCTCGTACCGACACTTTCGGAGACATCTCGTGAAATTTGAGGCCGGCTAAATCAACCTTGACTAAAAGTGCACCATTTGCAAAGACTGTAGGATCGCCTAACGACGTTATAAGGACGCGTTTACTACTATCTAAACACTATAAATCTACTAATACTTGCGGGAGATTATTTCTCGAGATCGGCACTCACGATTATCTCCCGGACTGCCAAAATCAAGCAACACAAGTGAAAAACATGACTGAGGAATAATATCTGCACTTTCTACGTAATGACAGTACTGGTTCAGTAGACGTCCGGAACCCCTCAGTAGCACACCACTAGAAGTGGATAAGACGCGGAAGTTTAACATCATTGGTCATGATGGACGAATTGTAGACTGTCGTGTATGATAACGTCTGCGATATCCTAGTACGACAGGTGTCTGATGAGTCTCCTGGGTGTGGACGAAAGAAGTCTTCCTGCAGAAGGTGCGCAGGATGCACTGCCTTAATTACATTGTGCGTCGTTGCTCAAATTTGGACGACCATCTGGCGGAGGTGTGCTGACGGTTCTGTGTCAGCTTGTGAAGTAACCAGAGTCAAAATGCTTATAAGTAGTTTTTACGCAACCCTATTGTAGTTCATTTGTTATACTTGTTTTCGGAAATCATATCAAGACATGCCTGTCTAGCTCGGCAGTGTTAAGCCCACCTCAGTTGATTTAGATTTTTTACCCAATTGTTGACTGTCTGACAGAGGACCAGAATATTCCGACTTTTTGACGGACAGTTCGAATTTTAATACTTTGCCTCCTGCTCATATGTCCAGTTTGCGGTCCAGCTTCGACCGCGCGGTGTATTAAATCGCTTCAGCCCTTCTATTTCTTACTTGTAGCATAATATTAAATGGACAGTCTTCACTCAAGACGTTTGATGCCATCTCTATTCTCTTCCATAAAAGCTTTTCGAAGTCGGAACACTTCAAAATAGGGAAGGCCCTGGTCAGTATTACGTTGGTTTTACTTCATTCCTTTCCAGGTCGCCATCCTCAACAGTGACCTGTTGTCGGATGGGGTTTCTCCTATAGTTTGTTTATTTCTTATCTGGGATATGTACAAGTCTGAACCTCTCGAACATAATCCATTTTTACGGTTTGTTGTGAATTATTTGGTAGGTCCCCTTTTTCTGACTTGCGCAACTCCTGTAGCAGCGCGACAGTACGCACTTCAACAGTTCGTTGCCCCTGCCTGCCAAAGTTTTTATGCATACCTTGATGAAGTTTGCCGACCGTGCTCGCGATGTAAGTGAGTCCTCATGGCCCTTTGATATTCCCCTTCCATAGCTTTGCAAGACTACACCCTTGCAACTTCTAACGATGGATGCTGACGTGTCCGCCCTGCGATCGGTTAGTTTTCGTTTCGCGTTCATTTTGTCTCTAGTGTGATTGGTCGATTTTTGATGCGCGCATCCAGGAACGTCTTCAGTCGATTCCTAAATTTGATTCTTGTGGTATACCTTGCGTTCTGCCTGATGATGACACAATGAAGTCGACCGCGTACGTTCTGACCGTGTATTACTCTTTCTTTTTGTGTTGAATAACACGTAAACGCCTGCCATTTTAAAAATTCGGTATAAGGCTTGCCGTCTTCAGTTAAATTCGCTGTAGTATTTCCAGATGTCGGAGTAAAACCCAACATCTTTACTATGGTCTCCGCTACAAACACGTCACTCCGTTTATCATCTCCAACCCTGTCACCGTGCAAATCCCCAAACAGGGGACGCTTAGAATTGTGTTAAACAAAATCCATGTCTTCTCCTTCGTGAAGTTTTCTGGTTGGAATGACCGGCTTGCAGTAAGTGTCGTTGATACATACCTGGCACGCACGACTATTTCACAACGCACCCATTCGGAGGGTCCGAGTGGTACGCAAATCGCGACCTCCCTTTGTTATAAAAGTTTTCTGTGAGATTCTAAGACGTTGGCATTATAACACGGGTCATTTTTTTTACCGGTCGTACAGATCAGACTCGACGTTCAGATCCAGGTTTAGTTGGTCATTTAACCATGGGCCAGCCATGTTAGCTTCAACTTAAAATATTGAATAATACGTGATATCGGCTTTCACTGATGTAGCTCGTTTGCTTGACATAATATGAGCTTTCCGCTTAACTTTCAGTATACTTTCCGATGGTGACTAAATTATCGAATGCCAACTAATATCGTAGACTATAACCAAAAAGTGCGCCAAATAATCGGACGTCTTCGTCGTCACTACTTTATCAACAGCATCTTAAGAAGCAAATGCTGAATGGGTTTTAGGCCCCCAAATGTTCTGGATATATCAGCATAAAATCCGGTGTTTGCAAAAGCCGCATTTATCCAGACTGATTTATAGTATGCCATCATAGAGAGGTTGGCCGGGAAGACGGGTTGCCCTTTAGCCTAGCTGCTGGCTACCCGGCGCGTCCACAGGTGGCGGATAGTGGGAAGACCTTCAGTGAAGGTTAACTGCAACATAAGCAGACCCAGGTCTGACGAATAGGCAGTCGCGTACCAGCAGCGACAGTGCTACCAGGGTGCGGGGGGCTGCGGTTTGGCACGCTGAAAGAATTATAAAAAAGGTCGCAAAGCTCGATGAGGGCACTGTGACATGACGATCGTGAACCGCCGTTAAATAAGTTCGCTTGCCACCGCTGCCCTGGAGTTAGACTTTTAAGTCAAAGCGCTAGAGATAACCTCGAGCAAACAGTCCGAGTGGCTGTTGGGGACCCGCCTGTACTCAAAACACTCTAGAACCCTCATGAAATATGTCCGACCATAGTATTACGACTCATACTACGGCTTACGCGGGAACCGACGCTCTCCGCAACCCTGGCCCAATGGTGCGGGCGAATAGTATGCGAGCTGGAATACTCAATCGGGAACGGACTCTTGATACTGGATGCTGAAATTTGCGCACGTTCCTGGGCCCTGGTACCAAAGTCTGACCGCGCGCGGCCTTAATCAGTAAAACATGGATGTTTGCTGTCTGTCTGAAGTTCGACTTCCTGACTCAGGCTCTCCGGAGATACAGATCCCTGGAGTTGAATCATACTTCACCTTATACCACAGCGGCCCATGCGACTCTCCTGGTAGACACGATGTGGCGATTGCCCTCTTGTAGCAATCAGACCTCGCCTTACTTGCTTGGGAACCAGTCAGTTACCGGATGGTCTACGTGCGACCGAAGGGTCACCCATTCTAGCTGCCGAACAGCGCGATAAAGGGGCGTTTTGCTCGCAGCTGCGAGCATTAATTGAAAGACTCCTCGCCGCGATCTGCTGATTGTTGCCGAGGATTGGAATGGTCGGACTGGACCTGGCGACTCCACAATCAGTCACCTTATTGGCCGCCCCGAGCTTGGTTCCCAGTATGAAAATGGCGAGAGACTGCTGGAATTTGCTAATCAGAACTGGCTGATTGTCACCAACATGCGCTTCCAGCATCACAATAAACATCTCCTGACTTTGTATTCGAACGGCGGTCACACGACCAGTCAGATTGACTACATATTAGTCAGATCAAGGTTCTGCAGCTGGGTTCACGATAGCAGTTCGATGCGTGGTGCCGAGACTGGTAACGCCCATGGGTCGGACCATGTCCACGTTCATACCACTTGAAAGTTCACCTCTCATCCGCACTAAAAATGTCACGTTCTAGACACCTCGATGTCACAAAAATCCGACAAACCAGCACTGTAGAAGCACTGAGCAGAGAAATCCGGTCCTTTTTTATGACCCGAGCCGACGGACAAGGCAGTAACCAGTGGTCGTCACTGAAAACGTCGATCTATGGGGCAGCTGAGAAAATCCTTGGATATACCCAGCAACGCCGTAGTGACTGGGTCAGCGGACGAATCCCACAGTTGTTTGCTCAGACGGCTCGGGCTAGGTCCCTTAATGATTATTCCTCCCACCAACTTCAAAAGATGGCGGCAAAATAGGCTAGGGGTGACTGGGAGCAATATTGGGCTAAAATAGCGACCTCCATGGAACAGGCCTCGAAGGTTGGTGACATTCGAGAACTCTATCAACTTATGCGCCAAGTTAGTAACAAGTCCTCCATTCTGATTGGCTCTGTTTACGACGTGAATGACGGCTCTATTGCTGACAACTCGGCCACAGTCGAGCACTGGCGTGAGCACTTCAAGCACCATGTCAACTTCGGTACCCAATTCACCACGCCCTTGTCACTTCTGCAGCGGAGTTTCTTCCCTCTCAAAACTATGCAATGCCATGCGCTCCCCTTCTGAAGGAAAAGTCATCAATTCCATACGAAAAATACGAAACAACAAGGCAATTGGAGAGGACGGTATACTCGCTGAGATCTACAAATCTCGTGTCGACACTGGCGCCCTGGCTCCTTGAGGTGATTGAACAAGCGTGGAGAGACGAGGCTGTTCCCGATGACTGGGACTCAGGCATCCTAGTACCTATTCTCAAGAAGGGAGATAAGACAAGATGTGGGAACTACCGCGACATAAGCTTCATCGACATTGCTGCGAAGATGTTCGCCATTGTCTTTCTCAGGCGATTCCGGGCTGTACGCGACTAGGACAAGGCCTAACCAAGTCGGATTTCGTGCAGGACGTGGATGTGAGGACCAGGTACTCACACTAAGGCGCATTCTCGAATTTCGCCCTAGCTACCAACAACCGACGGCCGTCTGCTTTGTTGACTTTGCCGTCGCGTTTGATTCCGTCCATCATGAGTCCCTATGGAATATAATGGCACCAGATGGTTTATCGCCAAAAATCATGGCCATGATCAAGGCCTATTACCGCCCCACAGCCGCGCGAGTTCTGGTCTACAAAAATCTTCCCCAACAGTTCGGTATTCGATGTGGTATTCGACAGGGTTGTATCCTGTCGTCCATTCTGTTCAACTACGCTTTTGACTGGACTATCGGGAGGGCCCTACAGGAAGGGGATGGAGTTTGCACCCGGCAGTCAGCTGACTGATCTCGACTAAGCCGATGATATTGTCTTACTAGCTTCAAGTTTTGGTGATCTACAGTCCATGGTGTCACGGGTGAACGAGGTTGCTAAATCAGTCAGTTTATCCATAAACATTGGGGAGACCAAAGCAGCATCCCCGACCAGGACGAGGCACCTGTCGAGATTGATGGCTGCCAACTTTCAGAAGTTGACAGTTCTTAATACTTCGAGGCGAGGCTGCTGCTGAATGGGCAGAGTAAGGATGACATTGTCTCCCGAATTGCTGCTGCCCGTCGGGTTTTCTCAATCCTTAGAAAGTGCCTATGGATCCGACGCGATGTCTCCATTGCCACCAAGATTCGTGTGTACCATACTTCCGTCTGGTCTGCCCTTATGTTTGTAAATGCTGGGCTGTGCGCGTGGAGACGAGCGAAAACTGGAGGTATTTGATCACCACTGCTTGAGGACCATCGCTCGAGTGAAGTACACCGACTTCGTCTCAAATGAGACACCCCGCACTCGCTGCAAAAACATCGCAAGGACTACCCAGGCCATCCAAGAAAGGTAACTAAGGTGGTTTGATGATGTTCATCATCGTCCAGCTCAGGAGCACAGTGTTGCTGTCCTCGATCCGCACCGTTACCTCATTGGAGGCGTCGAAGAGGGGATCAATTCAGAACCTGACTTTACACAGTTCGTCAACACATGGAATTGGTTCTTGGACCTTCAGTATTCGGTCTCAGTCGTCGGCGAAGAGAATGGGTTGAACTGCCCAGATCTGCTGCCGCGGATGGTCATGTGTGGAGAGATACAGTTCGGGGCATCATCGAGGCTGGCTAGATCAGGCATGATCTCAACCGTACCAAGTACAAGTATCATAGAGTTTATATATTTAAAAATGAGCGTCACCTTTGTACACTGAGCGAGAAGAGGCTGTCACATTGCACAAGCATCACCCTCCCTTTCCAGATCATCTGACTTCCTTTTATCTCCTCTTACGCTGGTAGCTTCGGTGTAGACCGAGTTTCAAATGAGACGTCTGCGTCCCAGCGGAAGCATTGTATAGAGGGACTGCTCGGGAGCGAGATGCTCGTTGCGTCCATGCAAAGCTTGAGGCCCAATTTCCTCCGTCTCGCGCCCCCAATAATGCCCTGCCCACAGGCCTCTAGTGCTGGTAGCGAGGTATTCAGGAGTAATAAATCCACCACTCCCTGTTTCCCGGATTCCGAATGGGTTGAGGAGCTGGTGTGGCTCAATCCAACGACGATAGAACACCAATTTCACTGGGATTCTAGCATGGGACATTCTAGTCCCACATTTGAGGTGAGTGAAGACAAAAATCAGTCTAAGTTAAGTTCACGTTTTCCTCTTCATATTCTAACAAGACGGCGTCCTACTTCTGTGATTTGAGCAACAGTCAAACTCGGCTGTTTCGGTCGAAAGATCCGCAAACCTCAGCTGCGGCCGTCATCCCGAGGGCCCTTGCTTTAGATAACATATTTCCGTTTTTTTCTGACTACATGTAAAGAACACCGAGAGGTAGTCGGTAATAGTATAAGTTTCAATCTGCGGTGACAAAATTCTTCCAACAACCACTAAAAAAGGGGATAATTAAAACAGGCCCATTGAATCTGTGGGAAGGGGGGGGGGTTATCTCAAAAGTCAGTCCACATCGTAAATGCACGTAACTTTAATTTGAGGCGCTTGCATTACCAAGGATGCCTTTCCTATGTATTCAATACCATTAACAGTATTTTATTGACGCTTTTACTATATTTTCTCATAGATGACATCCGGGGGAGTTTTATGTGACTTCATAAATACGGAAGTTTTTCGCGACCTAAAGGCTAATTGACAACCAACTCTACAATTAAACTATTACTTTAATAAATACGAAAAAAATAGTTACATTTGGTGATCGACATAATTTGCTTAGAAGCTGCGCATCGCATTGCTGTTTTTCACAGTGGTTCTGTAAAACCACGTGTTACGACTTGGCTCATACTCACTGAAGCGGAATTATTCCTCCCGCTATGAATCGATAAATGCAGATTTGATGCGGAAAACTTCGATGCACAGCAATTACCAACGGCTGTCCGTTTTGTATATTAAGACGGAATCTGAAAAACTATACATAGACGAACCTGTTAACTTGTCGAATTAGAAATGGCACGCCCGAAAAGCTGCCAAGCAAATGCCTCGAGCACTATGTCGCTAACCAGTTCATTCGACTCGAGCTGTACAGCGTGAAACCCGAGACGGAAACAGGAGTGAACAGAAACGATCTCAGTTGCAGACTCGGCAAAAATGTGTTTTTTTTTAAATTGCCTGGACCACCACCCTCGGTGTTGATGGAAGCTGACTCGATCCACACGTATGTGTAGCCATATTGTTACAGAAATGTGAGCAATCAGTCAATCATAGAAATGTGTGTGCTAAAATGCTGCATCTGCCGAGGCGTCAGTCTGATTGATTTCGCCGCTAAGAGCTTCGCACCTCTCTTTCTGGACCATTTCGGCGCGGTATGTGGCAAACGAAATAAAAACTGTGGTGGTTTGCGTCCATGTATTATCTCTTGCAATGGCCTACCACACGGCAGGCGAAAAATAGTTCTTTTTCGCTGTTTCTTTTTCAAATGAGTGACTCCGTGCCCCGATCTGACTACCACCTATCTCCGATTACTTTAAATTCTCAAGCGATGCTCGTTTTGAGTAGGATTCGCGCCTTTACGCGAGAGGTAGGATCATAGGACCGCGAGGCAGAAGGCCGTCCAGTTGTCGGCTGCCTACAGACTTTTCCAACCCTTGGTTTTCAACTTGCTCGTCGTCCCTATTGCCAAGCTTCCCAACTCACTCACTTACTTTTCCTCCTTCCTCTCCCCATTTTTGTCTGCCACTATCACTGTGCATATCTACCCCTATGATATCGCAAATATAATCATGATAATTTTGTCAGTTATTTTACTGTTGGTCTGGACAAAAATGCCTAGCCAAGACAACCAAGTTGAGGACAAATGGGAAAACGTCCTCCAGGGTCCATTTCTTTACCACCTACAAACTAGGGTGGCCTAGTGCAGTGGGACAACTGCTAGACTTAGATTGCCTCCTAAAATTAATAGACTTAATCGAAGGGGACGTGACTGGGAGTTCGGGGAGCTATGTTTGTTCCTCAGTTTTCTACCACTTGGGCACTCAGGAGCTCTCATCTTCGAATCACGTCCCTCACGGACCTCTAATGGCAAATGAGAGATAGGTAGAGCAAGATTATCTCTGCGCAGCAATCTCAGTCGCTGCGACTATTGCGTTCCTATTCCCTAATCGACCTGGATTATTATCGGTTTTTTCGTTGTCGATTGCTAGGTTTGTTGCGCTTTTGACGCTCCTATAACAGCCGTTATTTCCAAAGCTAAGTCGACAAAAATTCCTGCCTATTTTCCTGTCCCTCCTCTTCAGCTGCGCCAACTTATGTCCACTGCTCTCACTTCGGCTCTAACTCAAGCCCAACAACAAATTATGGTTCAGTCTATAAAGGAGGATCCGAACCTCATCCATAGCCTTGGGCTTACCTCCGAAAACGTGAGTCGCCTCCGTTCCCCGAAGGCTTCTGCCAGTGTACGGTTTTTCTTCATCCACGGACCTATAGTCATGTATTATTCAATTTCTTCAATTTCAGTTTACAAATCTTGTAAATCGGAATCCTGTTGTGGCCATTGAGATCCTTCTCGGCTTAATATCCACCCCCGAAGTTAACACGTGAGTGCAATGAATAGTTATTGGATTTCAGTATGTAGCATTCTTGTTTGTTCATCACATTACTAATATTCACTTCGGGTCCAAATTTCATACGATAACGTTGCAAATATCAAATCGGCACCCAAGGATTCATGATCTTATGCCTTGGGCCAAGTAAGTACCGAAGCCAAGTGAGCAAATCCATTAAAAAAAGAATACCATCAGAGCGCATACCGAACTAATTAGGAGGACAGTCGTTAGCAGTGCATTTGGTCGTGGGTCTGATATGCTAAAAGTGCCAATTTTCTCAAGAGACTATATGAATTTTGGAGTTGTAATTCCCAACGTCGCAGTCTTTTTTTTCTAGATATCTGTCCTCTCTGGTGAAAATGAATATTACTGTAAACTCAATGGAAGTCGTAAATCGAGTGGCCGCTCTTGTCGCGTTACCTTCGGAGTTCATCCACACATTCATATCGAACTGCATATCCACCTGCCAGGGCACTCAAGACAAATATGTGCAAGTGCGCCTTGTGCGTCTAGTCTGCGTGCTGATCCAATCGCTCATCAGGAATAAAATCATTGATGTCCACAACGGAGTGAGTTGTTTGTAGCTTTGTCCTGTTATTCACGAATCGCCCTTCCCAGAGATTGTGAATTGGTCACATATCGCTCATAGAACCCTTTGCAGTCCTTACGAAGAAACTCATTTGTTTACAATTACAGATAACATGCAGAGAACCTCGCGTATGATCATGAAATCAAGTCCACAAATGCTGGTGACTAATCTGTTTGTGACTTCAGTTCAAATTGTAATTGCCTTGTTGTGCAATTATGCTAAGGCAATATTGCGTTTGTGAAGAACGTCTAATCTGCACACTGGGAGACGGCGTCTAGGTGCATACGACCGCTGCTCTCGTTTGTATCGTATACCTCCATTGCTGCAGCTCCGCATATCTTGTCCTCCTTCCCGTTTGCACCCGTCTGCACATGTGTCCGGTGACTGCTACGCTAGTGCTGACGTCTCTGTTTGTATCTGGCTGGCGATCTATGTCACCGGCGTTCATGTACGATCTGCACTGCAGCCCCCACAGGTCTCGTGGGTTCGAATCCCCTGGCTTCCCCTCCGCCTGAAACTCCACTGACTGGGCTGTACACATAGGGCCTAGTAAGACGCAAGAAGACACGAAGATGAATGAAATGAATGAATGAATGATACTCTGTTCTCTTGTGGAAGGCTTGCACACAACTTTCTCTATGGCATCACGGGCACGGGTGGGGCAACTTAGGAGCTGATGCCTGTTTGTGGCATTCTCTTATGTCGCCATCTTAAGGCGTTCGTTGACCCAGCCAGGACATATAGAAAAGATATCTGTTTGTTGTTCCTGGCCTCTATCATGGACTGAAGTTTATGAGCGTGCGGATTTTTGAGACCGATTGCGAACAATGGCGGTTTTGTCGACAAACCGCGTTTAAAATATTGGTCCGTGGCTCACAATCGCCAGTTCCCCCACCTTTTTGAGGTACACTGGACTATCTTTGCCCTGCACGCACGCTGTCCCGTCGTAGGTGACGTATGCTTTGGTCAGAATTTGAACCGATGGGCGAGATATCCTTATTTTTTAGTCTTCTTAATTGCATTGTATTGACTCACGAACAGGTCGCAGCTTCAATCGTGGTACTCTGCAGGATCGTGGCGAATAGGTAGGCCACACCAAGTAATACAGTAACGTCATGAGTACTGAGGAGTAATCGCGTAATGCAAATCCTACGAACAATTATTTCTACGAATAGCAAAATTTTTTATGACGGCAGTCTCACCATGCTCCCCAAGGTAGGTCATAGTTAAAAATCCAGACATGCGCTTAGCTGCTTTTGCCGCTGCTACTGCTGTGTGACGGGACTTTGAGGGGCTCCGTTCCTCTGTGTGGGTTCTGGTATATGAACTCCAGATTTGAATGTTAAGATAGTAATTCCGCAAATTATTAAAGGAGGGACTTGGAGTTTAATGTCACAGCCATTACTTTGATGATCATTCTCGTGAATGTTGTGAACGTTTGGGTTGGAGGCAATCAAAATCTGCGGAATAATCGCGTAATGCCCATCCTACGAAAAGATGATAATACCTGAAATGTGGGTTTCCGCTAGGACCTATAGGTTAAAGAACTACGGTAGATGTGCTAACTCATGAAATGTTGACGGAAATTCTAAAATGCATTTTCGACTCGAAAAGATAACTTAAGTAGGGTTGAAATATCAATCACCTTGCAGCATAATCCCAAGATAATTTAGTTACTTCAGGATACCAGCCTTTAAGTGAACTTTTTTTCCGGCCGCCTGCAAAAGTTGCACTCTGTAAAAAATGACTAATCAAGTAGCATGAATGTTTATCACTGGTTTTCGATGCCCTTACAAACTCAGATATATTTCATGGAAAGCATGGCTAAAGTATTCATTCCTTAACCCATTTGGTGGAAAAATACGCCTTCTTCAAATTTTATTCTTAAAAGAAGGGTATAATTCGGTTTTGGAGAAGTTCCTAATTATGAGATTTTTTGAGTCCGTAGAATGTCCGTCCACAAAACATCATGTTTCTACATTTACTTAGATTGCCTGTAAAGCTTGCATTACGGCTTAAACCCGCTGTTAAATTTTATAAACCCCATATGGTCACGCCTTAGTAGCGTATAGAAATGTCTGATTTCCCGTAAACGTACAGTTCGTAGTTTAGAAGCCCTGAATGTAAGTGTAACAGCAGATCGGGTTCCAATTATTCGGATATCGGAAAAGTTTTTTTAAAACCGAACTATACTTTTTATTTAAGTATAAAATTAAAAGAAAACGTACTTTTCTACCAAATAAGTAAAGGAATGAATATTTTTATGCATGTTTTCCATGAAACTATCTGAATTTATAAGGGCATTGAAAACCAGTGGGAAAAATTCATGCTACTTAAGTAGTCATGTTTTGTAGTGTGGCTTTTGCGGGCGGCCGAAAAAAGGTTCATTCAGGAGCTGGTATCTCGGAGTAACTGAATTATTATGGAGTTATGCTACAGGGTTGTTAATTTTACAGCCCTGCTTAAGTAATCTCTTCGAGTCGAAGGCACATTTCAGAATTTCGGTTGACATTTCATGAGTTAGCACATCTGTATATTTTTAGCAAGATCGGACACCACTACTATTTTGACGTAGGATCTTACCTTTACGGGATCTTGCCAAACAAGTTGGACGGACGTTGGGGCCTCGTAGAATAGCCTGCTCGTTCACCATACCGCACACCTAGATTTCACGGGTTTACTTTAAAGCTAAAGTCCATATTGCAGAACCGGTAAAGATCAGAGTCGAGAGAAGCCACTGTACAGGAATGCACTAAAGTGCAAAGCAAAATATTCATTGCTTGCAATTTAACTGCTTCGCATTATCAACAGTGCCCAGGACAGAATTTACAGCAGTTGTGAGTCAGACGTTACCAAAATACCCAAACGATATCGGTACATTTTGACATTTCGAAAATGGAATGTACTTAAACCAACACTGGATTTGTAACCATTCAGTGTGTATACAGTTCTCCGAGACACGTTTACATAGTACGTCGCCCAGCATGGGATGACGGATTTTGTGGTCGGTAACGCAGGCGCTATATTTCCGACAAAAAAGACTTGGTCATCTCGTGCACCATTTACTCAAATCCTCTGAAGGTGTTCCAAATATGTATTACGTGTAACGTGAAATCATTGTTTCTGAATTAATAAGTTTAAGAACTACAAGCCCTAAAGAAATCCCTTTAATCGGCTAACAACAAGCGTAGTTCTCTGGTGCCAGTTTGATCGGCGGACAGGTCGACTTCGCACCTGATTTCAAGGTTTCACGTCATAATCTCCATGGAGACGGCGACAGGGTAGGCCTGGTGGGATTTACAAGAGCAGGGCGGAGGCCTGCTAGAGACGAGCCGAAAATAGTTCCCCCGCCAGAGATGTCATCACGCCAACTTGACTGCCCGTCCCCACATTCTTTCTGGCCACTCACGCAAGTCACGGCCAGCACATAACAAGAGGAAACCCTCTACCCACGGGACAACTTAGAGCGAGAAACAGCGGCTGAGCAGGTCCTGGAGAGGGGTTTCTAGGTTGAAAGCCTAGATAAAGTCACGGACTTGAGGCCCACAGATCAGGCATCCCACGCAAAGCTTGAAACAATCCAAAGAAGACGGCCAGCAAGCACAAGCACCTCGGAAACACTGTTGACGACCAGCAGTACTCGCAACCGCTGGTATTCAACATTGCAAGCACACCAACAGCTCAACGACCAGCAACAAATCTGACTCACTGACAGTGCGACTGAAAGTGGTAAGCGCCGGCAAACGGAGCTTGGACTACGCAGTCAACACGGTAAAAATGTCCAGTGACATCAAGCTATCGACATCGATGTGGCTTTATTGAGAGTCCGCAAACTCAGGTTTATTTCGTGAGGTTAGCTGGGGACTTTCAGTACAGACCGGGTGGTTTTTTCCTTGAGCGCACTGGCCAGAACGCGCCGGTGGCGGTTCGAAATCGCTATTCCACATCACCATCTAGCCTTACGGTATCTTATAGGGCAGTCGGCGTACCAGACCCTAGCCTTCTACGTCATGGTCGCACTGACGTTGCTGGCCCACGACTGCTTATTCGTCAGACCTTTGAGCGCGCTTACCTCGCAGCTGAGTTTTGCCGACGGTAATTCCATTATCCGCCGCCCGCAGACGCGCCAGCTGCTAGGCTAACGGGAGGGACTCGCCTTTGCGTCGGAGACAGGGGCCATCTGGTCGTTGGTGCCGGCGAACACTACCGCCAGCGTCCCCTGGGACTTGAGCCCTGACCCGCATTCGGCCGTCTTTACTACGTAGTATTTGGATCTACTTTAGTTGGATGTTCACCCGTTGAGCCCGATTTTATGATATGCATGAAGCACCGCTTCGGTTTTCATCAAAAACCACGACGAATGTCCCCCGGATCAAGATGGGAAACCCTAGTGATGAATGATGGGCCCATAAACAGCACCCCCGACTAACTTTCTGTGGAAAGCTTTGATATAATCATAACTGCCTCCGGTCTCTCATTCACAAGAGGTAAAATTACCCACGCAGATAGATGCTGAGCGACCGACTTAATTTGGAAATCTTTGAGGACCATGTAAGTCATTCGTCTCAAATAACCTAGAACGAGGTTTTCTCAAGGTAGACTCTGAGGTTTGTTGACCACGTATTGGGGTGCGCGTGGAAATGGCGTATGACTTGCATGGGGAAAGTTGACAACAAACCACCGTAATCTTTGGATCTTGTGTACCGATTTCTTAGAATAATCCAGGTTCCCGGGCAACATACAATTTCACCATTTCCAGTTCGGGCTTCGAGCCTGCGTGTCTAAGGATCTAGACTGTCACCCCTTCACTGCGCCATTCAACTTCCTATGAGATAATAGGGAGTACAAGAAGGGAGTTACGCAGAAGCTTTGAATATTTTTGTTGCGAGTTCTTAGACAGGTCTTTACTAGAAAGGAATGAGTCCAGATAAACATAGCGGGCAGCAGCCTGTTTGACAGCCAGCAAATAATGGCCACTCGTGCAAAATACTCAAACAAATGGTGTCCGCTGTTACGAGAGGCAGCCACCGTGTTTGATGTTGGACAAGTCACTCGTGAGTGACGGTTGTGATGACAGTTTCGGGGTCTCCAACGGGGATTAATGCGACCCATTTGGTACTCTCACCGGTGGACTTGAGTTTCTGAAATCACTATTTGGGCCAAATACTAGAGAGGTTCACCTCTGGGTTAAAAACACAAAGGCTTCTCCACCAACCCGCGTTTGTCTCGCTCCGGGTGAGGCTGTCCTGATGTCTATTCACCTTGTCATTTGCCGGAGAGGGGTAAATATTTGATCTGCTGGAAGACGCAGGACGCTGCCAGTCTATCCTGTCCTTAATGGACTTCGACCGGTCATTATTTTGCCAAACGTCTGCAAAGTTAGATGCAGCTAGCATTGATGGAAACAGTTCTGATAATGGCCATTTTGCCAGAACTAACAGAGCAGTCATGCCTCGACTCTTTTCTTATTTCAGGGCATTCTGGTCGAAGTGCAATCTTTCTGCTTGGAATTCAACAAAATTCGTGACGCAAACACCTTGTATAGGCTTATAAAAAGTATCGAGGTCAGTGGGACGGCTGGCCATGGAACTCCCCCCACCAGCAGCGAGACACAAGTATCGCAGCCGAGAGAACAGTGAGGTCAAGGCCACATAGAAACAGTTGAAACAATTTATGACTCCTGTTGCTGTATTTCTATTTTTATGTATACTCCTTGAAGGAATGTCTTGGCCGCATGCGTCTTCATTTGGTGATTTTGGGAAGTTGACAAGGTGCGTGGAAATAAGGATTACCAAGTTAATAATACAGATGGGAGAAATTTCTATTCCGACTCCCAGAGGTCCAGAACCCTCCGTACTATTTGCTTCGGTTCTTCCATGGCCCCTTCCCCGAATTCGCCGCATATGAGCGTCTTAGATATCGGTGGGATCACACGCCAGTGAAGTGTTTCCTGAAGTAGGGTTATCTGTTGAATTGTCAGTGGATTATTCCACATATCTGTATTCATAGCCGGCGCAAAAAGCCCGATTTTCTTCCTGCTTCCACATATCTTACTGATGTCGAAATACCAGGCTCTAGCGATACATGTTAGAAGGTTGTCGGCAAGTCCATTCGATATTTTCGCCAGTGTATTGGCCGACATTGGAGCTATAAGAAATACGTCTGCCCAGTTTTTCAACTACTGAATAAGTAAGTACTAACCTTGGCAGTACCTTTATATGCAGGACGTCATCACCGCGAGAGCTCCAGCAATTAAATTCATCCTCGTCCTCGTACATCGGAACTATTATATCTTTCTTGTCAAAGAAGTGGTGTGCAGCCTTTGTGGCGACGACATTAACAGTAAATCCTTCTCCTTGAAGAAGGGACACCAACTCGGGTGCCTTTATTGATGCTACGCTTCCAGTAAGACCAAGCAGGACGTGTATACCGTCTCCCGACCCCATACAAGGCTACAATTTCGGAGGGAATTCGTAACGGCCACGATGATACTAGCTCGTTAAAAGCGTTTTGTCTAGGGATCTCACATAAGAGGACATTTCCTAAGAATAAGGCAACTTCCCTACTCGAAGTGGAAGGAATCTGATTAAATAAGCTTGTGGCTGTCGTCAAACGGTAAGAAGATCACTTGATCGAGGCATTTTAAAAAGTTTTGTATTTCATTCGCCTTCAAATTGCCCCTATGTGACACTGGCAAGATTTTCTAGGTATGCTTGTTCACGGACCTACCTGAGGGGCAAGTCTGAACAGGGCATAGTTTCGCAAGGGTTAGTTTGGGTTCCACACGTAGAATATGCATCAATGGGCTTAGCAGAATTTGGAAATTCAGAAGAATACGGATGCGGCTTAACGCAAATGAGAGCGCGGTTAATTACACCGTCAAAGAATATTGCAAAACTTAACAAAAAGGGTTACCAGGCAGGGCAAGAAAGTAGGCTACGTAAAGGAACGCCTAAGGACAAAGCTCAGTCGGCACCTGTCGATGACAAAAGGAGTGGTTGCGGAAAGCGAATCCCTTTCGAAAAATAGTTAGGCCTTTATTTATTAGCAAAACAGATTAGTAACACCGTAGGTTTTTTCAGTGTAGGGAGCGTGTATATGCATATTGTGCCAAGGGTACTAGGACCCTAGCGATAGTTTGAATCATGTGGGCGCGTACATATATAGTAAGTACACGATGGGGCAATTAAGAAGAAGCTATTTAAGAGTATTGAAGCTAAAAGTATGTATGTATGTATAAATTGAAGGTTTACAGGCAGAGTCCTTGATGACCCTATTTATGTACAGTGCTTTCGCAGATTCATACTCAAAAATAAAATAAAATTGCAGGCATTTAAAATTTGATTGGGTCACAGTTCAATCGTTATCATAAGGTAGTGCATAGGGTCACTGTAAGTTAGTGCGGAAGATTGTTTATGACAGATTTTACAAAACTGGCTGTGCATAGTCATGCTGTACAAGCCGATTTCTGTCGAAAACTAGACGAGCAAGTTTTTTTAAACACACAAACTGTGTCAGCCGTCATCATCTCGCTTGGAAGCGAGTTCCACGGCCTGACAACCCGCTGGCTGAATGAAAATTTTCGTCGGTCTAAACGTGTGCGCTCATTCCCGACTTTGTATTCATGGCCGCGTAGTTGGTTTGTACGGGCGAACTCAAAGAAGTTCTCTGCTCTTAATGAGCAACGCTGGCCGCGAACAATTCGGAACGTCCAGAGTAGACTGCAGTTTATTTGTCTATAAGAGAGAGGGAATAGGCCAAGAAAATGCAGCCTCTCCTGATAAGACAAATGTTTCAGACCGTCGACCATCTTTGTCGCTCTGCGTTGCACATGTTCGAGTAAGTTGATATCCTTCCTCATCCATGGTGAAGCTGCTGGCATTCCATGCTCTAGATTAGGTCTTACAAAGACACCAAAGACTCTTTCGAAACGTTCTGGAGGAAATATTTTAAATGCACGTCTGATCCAGTGTAGAGTACTAGTTGCCTTCTGGACCATCTTTCTACAGTGTTCTGATGGCGATAGATTTGTGGTCGTCCATAAACCCAGATCTCTGTGTCTTTCCACAGTATCTAACCTCGTCCCGTCAATATAGTAATGGTGTGTGGGAGAGGCATTGTGGCCGGTTTTCAGGTGCAAGACCACGCATTTGGACACGTTAAACTTCAAAAGCCATCTGTTCGACCAAGCACACAGTTTGTTGATGTTCGACTGCAACTTCTCTGCGTCATCATCGCATTTGACTTCACTCCATATTTTTATGTCATCCG